AGCAGACTATTCGAAGATGCTGAGGCTGTAGGAGGCAGGTCTAATTGGAGAAAGCAGGCCCCTAGGAGTTGAAGGTTATCTACTTTTTCTCTTCTTTTGGATAAGGTCTCACATAGCCCAGGCTGGTCTCAAACTCACCATACAGACAAGGATAACCTTGAGTATCTGCTTTTTCAGTCTCTAAGCATGTATAGCACTACACCTGACTTGAAGTGTATCTTATCCATGTCCTGTCTCTCCTCTTTCCTTCCTGGTGACCATGATGTGAGTAGCTTTTCCCTGCCAGACCCTTCCTCCATGTTTCTTCTCTGTCACAGGCCTTAAGATCCACGGATCCTAGTGACCATGGATTTAAACCTCTGAAGCAGTGAGCCAAAAATCTCCCTCTTCCCTCGTTTGTATCGGCTATTCTGTCACAGTGACTAAACGTTTAATACAATGGTACAATATTAATCATGGAATTGTTTTAAAAATTTACAACTCTCACTGGATGATGGTGGTGCACACCTTTAATCCCAGCACTCGGGAGGCAGAGGCAGGTGGATCGCTCTGAGTGTTTGAGAACAGCCTGGTCTCGAAAAAAATAAAAAACAAAACAAAAAGGAAAATTTTACAACTCTCAAAATCTTCATGAACTTTTTCAATATGAAATTATCAGACATTACTGTTTGATGTAAAATAACTCCCACTCAATGTTTCAAAGGTCTACGCTGGACTGGTGAGTTAGTGGATAAAGGTGCTTGTTGTACAAGCCTGACAATATGAGTTCAATTCCTAGAACCCATGGTCGAGGAGAGAACCAACACCTGATAGTTGCCCTCTGACCTCCACATGCATATAGTAGGGTGTGTGTGTGTACACATACACACAGTAAATAGGTCTAAATCCACCTTGTTATTTAAGTATTTTGACAGTTTTTCAGGAAGACACATTACAGACTTAGCAGTAAACTCAAAGGTGAACTAGTTGGTTTTCATACTACATGTAAAATGATCTACAGTAAAACTTACTACCCCATGTTGGAAGTGTAGCCACCTGAGTAGTATGTTATGTAGTAAGCACAGCATCAAGACAGAATTTTGTGAGGAAAAAAATCTCAGTTTTCCTTTCAACTCAGCTTTTTTTTCTTGCTAATCGTTCAGGCTTCTTTTTTCCCCAGTCTTCTTTTTCTTTTTCTTTTTTTTAATAGCCTAAGGTTCCAATCAGTTGAGCTGCTGCCACCTTCACATTAAACTTTAATAAGCTAAGCTTTTTAAGCCACATAAAAATTTCATCAAGCATTTCTCAACCTTAGGGAAAATGGAAGGATGAAAAAAGGTCAGAACATCACTTTCCACTAAAGTACCGTCTGGAGAGGGATGCTATGAAGGGAACCGCAACACATGCTAGGAAACAAGCGCCCTTCGTGGCCGGTGCCAGATGGTGAGCTTTTTACTCCTTCATTACATACAGGCCCCACCGAGGTTGCTAATTAATGCACGATCATCAAACACCAGGCTCCTAGGACAACCATGAGCATTTTAAAGCCCTCTGGATATGCCCCATTCAGCTCTCACATTATCATTGGTTTCCTGATTAAAATGTTTCCAGAAGAACTCCTGATTATCTTACCTTTTGGTGTTCTATATGGCATTTAATGATATTTATAATTCATAAGGTATTTAATAATAATAAACTCAAGTCTTCATTTTTTTTTTAAAGCTAGCATATACTATCATTCCAGGGAAAGAGGAAGGGCTGCCTAGGGCCTTGGCCTTAAATGGACACTGGAAGCTGAGCTCTCTGGGCTCCCTTACTACCCAGCCCCACCGATTCCCAACAATGTGCTGCAGAAGTCTTCAGCCCAGAATGGCCTAAGTCAAGAGAAGCCGGTTTGTCCTAACCAAAATATCTGGAAAAGAGGGGACTTATGTCAAAAACCCCAGAGATTGTCTGCTCTATTTTAGTCAAACACCAAAGAGAAAACATTACTCTTCCCCTCAACATGGCCCTACTTGCACTCAGTGCGAAGGTGATCTCCCAGACCTAGCTGCTCAAAGGAGCAAGTCTAGTGCACTGACCTCACACCTCTAGTACATGCCACCAATGGCAGAATACACATGTTCTTCTGCATACATTAAGCACCATGATTAACCACACCTGGGGTCATAAGCAAGTCTAAGAATTAGAAAAGAACTGAAAACAGTATTTCTCTGATCAAAACGCAAGCAAATAGGTATCATTATCACTATTTCATAGAAGATTCCCTAAACAACCGGAAATGAAGCACTTCTTAATACACAGGTTGAAGGAAAGTGTCGAATATAAAAATATGTAAGGCTGGGTGTGCTGGTGCATGGCTGCCATCCCAGTCCTTGGGGCTGGAGGCAGGAAAACACAGAACTGAATGTAAGCACAAGTCAGAACCTGTGAGGCAGAGCGGTAGCTTTAGCATTTCCTTAGAAGTGCTGACAGAAATTTATAGCACAAGATACTTGCATTAGAAAAGAAACCGCTTCAGACAAATGAATTATAGACTTGACTCTAAAATGTGATACTTTATAAACATTTAGAGGAAAGGAGAAATCTTTGTGAGACAAAGAGCTTTTTACAATTGATACCAAAGTACAATTTCAAGGGAAAATTCACAAGTTAAACCTTATCAAAATTAGAAAACCCCCAACCATTTGTTTTTCCAAGACTGTTAAAGTACTGAACAGACAACTGCAGATGAGAAGAAAGCACCTGCAAAGCACATGCCCGTCAAACCAGCACCACATCTACAACACAGAGTTTACAACCTCAGCAGCTCAGTGAGTAACAGCACTGGCTGCTCTTCCAGAAAACTCGAGTTTGATTCCTAGCACCCATGTGCTTCACAACTGCCTGTAACACCAGTCCCAGAGAATCTGACACCCTCTCTGGTCTCCTTGGGCATTGAATCCATGTGTGCGCAGATATGCGTCTGGGCAAACATATAAATAAATAAAAACTCAAAAAAAAAAAAAAACCTCAACAGTAAAAGACAATTCAGAGAAAAAATGGGCAGGAGACTTAAGTGGCCATTTCACCGAAGCACTTGAAAAAATGATCAGGGCAGGGTGATGGCTGCAGCACAGTGTCGGCTATATAAGCATGAGGACCCGCATCTGCATTTCAGCATCCAAAACCTGGGTGCAGTGGGACATATCTGTAACCCCAGTACACTCAATTCTAACCTCTGGCTTCAACACATATGCACAATATGCTTACACAGGACACACATGCATGCATGCAACCTCTGGCTTCAACTCATATGCACAATATGCTTACACAGGACACACATGCATGCATGCAAGATGTTCAGTTATGACCACTGGAGAAATACACATTATAATAGCAAAAGAAATGTACACCAAATATTGTTAAGACATGGAGGAACTGAATTAGTCACACGCTACCTGCAGGAATGTAAAATAATGAAGCCACTTTGGAAAAGGACATTTTTTTTTTAATACTAAACTAACCACCAGGCAGTACTGGCACACATCTTTAATCCCAGAACTCAGAAGGCAGAGGTAGGTGGATCTCTGTGAGTTGGAGGCCAGCCTGGTCTACAGAGTGAGTTTCAGAACAGCCAGGGCTACACAGAGAAACCTTGTCTTGAAAAACTAACAAGAAAAAAAAAATAAACTAAACATTTACTTACATTGTGTTCTAAAGTTCTTTATGTTGCAAGGAAATGAAAACTCATGGTCAGATAAAAACCTGTACATGAATATTCATAGCTATTTTATTATACCCACAAACTGAAAATAATTCAGGTATCCTTCAATGAGTGAATGGCTAAGTAAATTATAGTACATCCACACCACAGAATACTACTCACCAATAAAAAAGAGCTACTGATGTGTACAGTTTGTAAGGACTTCCTGGAACTATGCTGAGTGAAGATGAAGAAACCCAGCTCTCCATTTAAAGTCTATACATCATTTTTTTTTTCAAGACAGGGTTTCTTTGTATAGCTCTGGCTGTCCTGGAACTAGTTCTCTGTAGACCCGGCAGGCCTTGAACTTACCGAAATCCACCTGCCTCTGTCTCCCAACTGCATCTCCCAAGTGCACACATCACTACCACCTGGCTATACAACATTCTTTAAATGACAACACCAGAGATGGGGAACAGGTTAGTGGTGGTGAAAGGTTAGGGTAAGAAGGAATCTTTGGCTATGAGACAGCAGATGACCTTTTCCTTATGGCTTGACTGTGGTGAGTTCATGAATCTGCATGTGATGGAGTTGAACAGAAGCACACACATGCACATGCATGAACACAAACCAAACAGGACAGCCCTGAAGACATTAGTGGACTAGGTAATAGCAGTGAACCTGTGCTGTGATAATCTTACAGTTAGGCAAGATGCCGTGACTGGGGAAGTGGTCTCCACTGCTTAGATCAGAGCAAGGCTGCCGTTCCTCTAAAGCTTAAGAAGAGCGGTGATGGTGACAGAATGCAGACAGCCTGGACAGAACCATGAAACACGCCACACTGACAAGTACAGAACACCTGACCTGCGCTCTTCGGAGATGCCAGGATCAGGAAACAGAGTGAAAAGACAGCACAATCAAATGTAACCTATATTCTTACCTAAGCAACCTGGGATTTTCTTTGCTATCAAGGACACATCTGAGCAGTGCTGGAGAATCCGAGAGAGCCTATAGGTTAAGAAATGTATCTAAAAAAGTTCATTTTCTGACTTTGATAACTATATTGTGTTTATGTGAAACAACATTTTCTTCTTTTTCTTCTTCTTTTTTTTTTCTTTTTTTAAACTGAAATGGAATTTAGCTCAGACTGGCCTGAAACTCACTGTGTGGCCCAGCTGGCCTCAAACTCCCGAGTTCAGGGGTTACAGATGTACCACCATCCTGACATGCTTTTGTTATTGGTTTTGTTTTAAATACATTATATAAAGAAGTATTTAAGATGTATGATCACAGGATCCTCATGTATTATGGCTGTTTAGAGTACTGGTTAGCTCACCTGGTTCCTGTCGCGAGCATTTGTGTACCTGATCTTCTGAATGAAGTAGAATATGAGCCACGCTGAAGAAATAATCATCAAAACAATAAAGGATATTGACACGAAGACTAGAGAGCCACGGCTGAAGTTCTTTGGCGGCATTCGAGTTCCAACAGCTATTGTCATTTGTACAGAGATGTTTTTCTCCAGATAACTCAAAATATCTTTACCCCTCAATTCTGTTATCATGACAGCAATAATATCTCCCGTGCCTGTAATGTAAAACAAACACATAGACTCAAGTGACAGCTGAAATTCATAAACATCAAATTAATATACACATATGTTCCCTGGAGAAATTAACACTACTTCTGCTAAAGAGAAAGGTTTGCAGATTCCACTGTTCAGCTGACATGAGGCTGCAGGTGTGCACACTCACAGCGGTGGGAACATACGCAGTACTCCAGACAAGCAGGTAAGGCATAAAACACTGTAGTCTTGCTAATGCATGACCTTCCATACAGCTGCACTGAGAAACATGAAGCCGGCCACCTGTGACTTAATCAGGATGGGTTACAGTATAAAAGATCTCGAGAAAAGTGCTGTCACTTATGGCATAGATAGGTGGTTCTCACACTAATCATTCTAACATGCATTGCTGAGCAACAACTGTGTGTACAACAGGGAATATATAGAAGCACATGTCTTAGGACACATGCTTGGTTACAGTAACTTACAGTACCAAATGGCAACATCTTTTACTGGTAACATTTGGAACTAACCTTGGTTTTCTGTCTAGAGCTAACTGGAATCAAACGCCTTCCAGAACCCATCTGGATCTCAAACTCAAGATTTTTCCTACACAATTTGGAGACAGAATTTCATGTTGCCCAGGATGGCCTCAAACTTGAATATTCTGTCTCAGTCTCCCATCATATCTAACCATGTGCAGCACACTCAAGTCCTCTAGGCAGGTCCAAGTTTCAAATTTCTGGACTAGTACCCAGAATGGAACCCAAAACCTTCAGCTTCTAATAGCTGTTCAGAGGTCTGCCCAAGGCACAAATCATGTAAATTAATTACAAGGATGGTTCAGTTCCTAATCTTATATGGTTCCAGGGGGCAGAAATAAGTCAAAGCAAGCAACCACTTCCCCGAGAATAGCACGGGTTACTATCCCTTTTGTCCTCTAGTAGGTAATAGTCTTCTACTTTATTTAAGGAGGCAGGGGAAGCTTCTCTACCACATGCAATTGTCAGTAGCTGTCCTTTCTTAAGGGAAAGTTAAGTGTCACAACATGCAACTCCCTCCCGCTACCCCGAGACAGGGTTTTTCTGTATAACAGTCTTGGCTGTCCTGGAACTCTGTAGACCAGGTTGGCCTCAAAGCTCACAGAGATCCACCTGCCTCTGCCTCCCGAGTGCTGGGATTAAAGGTGTGCACGACCGCTGCCTGGCCACAACATGCAACTTTTATAATATATCTTTTCCAAAGAACCCAGAAAAAGACTGGAGGCTAGGTTTCCCATTTATTTTGAGAAAAAGAAAATTATAACCACTTACATGAATATGAAGAAAGGTTATATATCTAAATATTAAATACCCCCTAAAAACAAGCAGAGCACATCAAAATTTGGCCTTTTGAAGGCTCCTTTTAATATTTTAACAATATTAAAGACATTTATTTGGTTTTATATGCTTTGTTATGTTTAGCAGTCAAGATGATATGTAACAAACTCAATAACAAAAGTTTTAAGAAAAATATGTACAATGGAATATATATTCGTGTAGTATTGTATTGGAAACTGTTTTAGCCATTTTATCAGCACAGTAGTTTATCAGTTTTTTTTACTTAAAAACTATAAACAAAAACAAAACTGCAAAATTAAAGTTAGCATTATTAATACCTGCCTCTGGTCAATAAGCTAAAGAAAAAAATCATAAAATAATACTAAACCAGTTTAAATTTCCATCTAAAAACCTTAAGTTTGTGCTTTTACAATGTTGATCAACAGGCATAATCTGTGGTGTAGAATACCAGGTATGGCTATAAAGTAACTGAGACGGATCCCACAAACGACATATGACAATCAGTCTCATTGCTTTATAATCACACCAAGTACAATTGGTTTTAGAAATCAGTTCTGAGGCTCCCTCTTGAAGACTCAAGCTGGAAAAGTAGTGGGGAGAGCTGCACAGGTAGCCAAAGGAACCAGTCCAGTAATTTCATTTAAGCGAACACTAAATGGACGAGTCAACTATTCTCAACAGAAGAGCTGTTTGGGAAAGAAACATTTAATTAGTTCAACACCAGTCAATATTCATTGAGCACATACCATGATCAAGGTTTTCTTTCACTTCTTTTAATTTTTCTTTTTCTTTCACTTCTTAAAACGATAAAGAAATTACCTGATCTTAACTGACATGAAAAGTGCACCGACTCTCAGGAGGGCAAGAGTGACTGAATCTTGGTATAGTCTTATTATCATAGCACAAGGAAAAGACTGGGGAGGGCTGGCAATGGAGACTGAAAACGATCAAATGAAAAGTCCCAGCCGCACACTCATATACTAACGAAGGCAGTGATCTGCTACAGATGCTAATACAGTACACTGCAGACCCCTTCTCTCCAACAGTCGCAGCTGAGCTGGGCTCAAAGAACCTAAGATGGCTCAGACATGTAAACATTTGGGGATGGAGGCTAAAGAGATGACGCAATGGTTAAGAGCACTGGCTGTTCTCGCAGAGGATAGGGTTTGGTGCCCGGCACCCACATGACAGCTCGTAACCACTGCAATTCCAATTCTAAGGGGAATTGACACTCTTCTGGCCTTCTAGAGGTCTTGCACACAGACTCATGCAGGTACACACACATATACAAAAAATTGGTAAATAAACCTTAAAAACAAAACAAAACAAAAGATCTTGGGAGTATTGGTCCAGATTCAGAAGGGATGATGACAGAGAAATTTTAATACTCAGGATTAAATCAGAATTAGAATAGCAGTGATTGGTAGGAAAGAAGGATTCATTAACTAGAAAGACAAAAGCATTTAAGCAGACATGAAATATTTGTTACATCCATCACTACGCCTATGTTCTGCAACACGAAGACAAAGCTTTGGAATTCCGTGCATTTTAACAATCAGGTACCAGTGTATGACTTTTCTCACTGTGATAAAACACCATGACCAAGGCAATTTACGGAAGGAAGGGTTTACTTGGTTTATAGATCAGAGGGAAAGAGTCTGTCATAGCAGGGAAACATGGTAGCAAACAGTAAGTATGACAGCAAGAACTGGATGTTAAGAGCTCACACATTCTTTTTAAAAAATTGTTAATTTAATTTCAATTATGTGCTTATATGTGTGGGTTTGCTTGTAAGTTACAGTTGCCTGCAGAGGCCAGGAAAGGTCATCAGATCTCTGGAGCTGGAGTTACAAGCAGTTGTGAGAGACCTGATGTGGGTGCTAGGAACCAAACTCAGGTCCTCTCTAATAGTAGAATGTGCTCTGAACTTCTGAGTCATCTCTCCAGCCTCATATCTTGACCTGCAACTAGTAAGCTGAAGGAGCAACAGTAAATGTGGAAGTCTTTAAACTCTCAAAGCTGGCCTCCACAAATACTTCCTCCAACAAAGCCACACCTCCAAAATATCCCTAAATGGCACCACCCACCAGGGACCAAGTGCTCAAATATATGTGCCTATGGAGGATTTTCTAAGTCAAACCTCCACAGACAATATTAATTTCTTATAGATGACAATGAAATGAGACTATTATGATCCTTGTTTTTAGTTACTTAAAGAAACCTTTTTCATTTTACTCTTTTAATTACTTAATTTTATATTATGTATATGTTTGTATATCTGTGCCATGTCTATGCTGGTACCTGTGGAGCCAAGAAAAGTGTATTGGGTTCCCTGGAGCTAGAGTTACAGGTGTTTGTGTGCTGCCCAATATAGGTTCTGGGAAGTGAACTCAGGTCCTCTAGAACAGCAGCAAGCACTCTGAACTACTAGGCCATCTCTCCAGCCCTCCAATTTATTCTTTTAGTATGTTAGTGTGGTTATTTAAATTAGCAATTCTTTTCTTCCCCTTTTTATTCTGAGAATTTTTCTTTTTCTTTACATTTTATTTATTTTTATTCTCTATATATTGTATTTTGCTTGTATGTATGTCTGTGTGAGGGTGTCTAGAACTAGAGTTACAGACAGTTGTGAACTGCCATGTGGGTGCTGGTCCTCTGGAAGATCAGCCAGTATTCTTAACTGCTGAGTCATCTCCCCAGCCCCCGTACTATAAGAATTTTCAAATGAAACAGTTTCAACGCTATGGGAACATTTATGTACTCTTTGTTTACGTTTGCAAACAGGAAACACTTTAGCCTTTCTACATCTATTTCTTTTGGCTGGACAAATTGAGAGTAGATTACAACCAACAGGACATTTCAATCTTTAATAATTCAGCAATATCTACTAAAACAAGGTTATTTCAGATGCTCACAATTTACTAATTCTACTAAAATTACTTCTGCTAAAAATAATATAGTGTCTAATATACTTCATGTTCAAATATTCTGATTCAGCCTAATAATTCAAACAAGGGCGGTGTATACCATACCTGGATATCTTGTCTCATTATAGTTTCCTTTGATCTTAAATAGTTTCTTAATTATTTTAGTTCACTGTTCATGAAATTAAAAACAAAGATTTTATTTATTCATTGTATTTGTGTGTGTGAATGTGCCATGATGTATCTGGGGTGAGAGGAAAACTTGCAGGAGTTAGTTCTCTCCTTCTACTAAGTGGACCCCAAGGGACAAAACTTACGTTGCTAGGCTTGGTGGGAAGTGCTTTTGGGTCTCGCCAGTCCTGTTTTTCCTTTTTCAAGACAAGGACTTCCTTATGTAGTCCAGAGCGGCCTCAACCTGCTATAGCTGAAGATCACCTCAAGGTCATGATGCTCCCGCCGTGGCTGTGATACTCCTATTTCCACCTTTAGCAATGGGACTACAGGTGTGAATCACCAAGCTGCCTTTCTGAAGAGTACTGCCCTTTCTGAAGAGTCTAAGGCAGATATTTTGAAAATGCCTTTCTATTTGGGCTCATTTGAACAGTTCCTGATGGATGTCCTTTTATTGTCGGTATGAGAGCTATGAGGTAATTCCTCCTTCCTTTCCTCCCTCCCTCTCCAGGGAATCACCTCAGGAAGCAAATAGTGGTTTTACTTTTATTACTGATGGCAAACTTTATGACTTGAATAACTAGTACC